TAGCCGTGGGGGAGGGTGCATACAAAAGACACTCTGACGCTTAAGTAAGTGACTTTGCGTAATAATCTTGTAATAAAATAGAGCTGTCAAAACGGGTAACCCGGCCCGACCCGACCTAACCCACCACGGGGTGGTCATTTAGTGAGTCAACCCAACCCGGCTCATTTATTAACGAGCCGAAAAAATTCAAACCCGACCCGACCCACCACGGATTGGTGGGTTGAACGGGTTGGCTCATTGACTCACTTAATTAATTTTTTTTTTCAACCTCTTCTTCTCAGATTCTTATAACATGTTACTTTGATCGATCAAATTGAAACAAATAATTGGACTAAATTGATATAAAAGAAAATAAAACAAAAGAAATATATTGTTATATATATTATAAGCTATCAAAAATAAAATTTTGCCAATTTAGTTTAATGAGACATAGATAACCGTTTGACGAAGAAACTACATATAGCCGTTAACAAAAATATATAGCATAAGATAAAATTGTCATGCTTGTACATAGGTCTAAAAACAAGATAAAACAAATTATATATTCCTGAATTATCCAATCTATAATATTATTCATCTATTAAATTGGAGTCCTGAATGGATAAATTCACAGTATTATGCTCTCTTGAAGCATTTTCTTCTTTATCGCCATCTATAATATTATTCAATCTATAATCTTAGGGTTTTATTTGCAGAGGGGAACTTTTGGAAAGCCGCGCGAAAGGCTCTATTGCTAAGTAAAGGTTGTACATTTTGAATAATTAATTTAATTAGTTTGATTTAAATAAAAAAATAGGATTTGAATAATTAATTTAATTAATTTAATTTAATTAATAAAAAGTAGGTGAGTTGGTGAGCCAACCCAACCCACCACGGGTTCAACCCGTGTGAGCCAGATTTTTAGTGGGCCGGGTCAAAATTGGCTCGCATAAAAAATTTTGCATTTTTTTCTAACCCAACCTGGCTCAAACCTGTGATGAGACGAGTTGACTCACAGGTTTCAACCCATTTTGACGTCACTAAATAAAAATTAGTAATTAGAGTTAAATTACATGCCTTTTCTATCATACATATATTTATAAATATTACAATGAGTTTACCATGAGGTATGACTCATTAATTACCAATAAATGACTTTATTCCTATTAATTGTCCATCAATGACTTTTATTCTCATTAAAAGTCCATTAATAGTTATTATTGTTCAAAATATTTTTCAGACCGATCGGTCATTTTCTCACTGGATGATTAGTCACGCGATCCTTTGGCTGACCAGGTGGTTCTACAGTACATATATTATTTTTAATGAGCATACAAGTATCTTAATTTCATTTTATTTTTTTAATAATACTTTATATGAAAATGTTTATTTTTATATAAAAATTATCAATCCTTACATGCTATTAGCTTATTAAGGTGCTGTTAACAAATGTTTAAAGACACTTGTTTATGTGTTATTATACAAATAATAAAGTTGATACGAGGAAAGTGTTTATAAAAATTATCAAATCTAGAAAGTATTTATAGAAAATGTTTTGGTAGGAATTTGTAGGACCGAGAAACGTATCTTTCCTGACATGACTTTTCTGCTTTCCAATGCCTGAATCACATGCTCCGCTAGGTTGTCCCCTGTTCTGCTCGGTTATTTCCTGCTCCGATCGGTTGTACTCTTGACCAGAGGGGGAGGTACCTGCAAAAGGCGCTTTGGCGCTCAAGTTAGGAGCGGTTTAATGAACTGTTTATCATAGTTCAGTATTTGAGTTCTGATCGAACGTAAGTAGAACGTACGTAGCTTTTGTCCTTGACCTTATATTTATAAGTGTCTCATGGATCCTAAACCAACACAAATCCAATAAAATAAAAACAAACTTACCTTTAGATCCGGTTGGTTACTGATAAACAACTTATCAATATCTTTATTCAGTTATCAATATCTTTAATCAGATATATTTGATTATTTTATCGTCTGCTAGACTATTGGCCCAATAATAATTTGAACGTTGATCCAATTATAGACCAACATTTGTTGTAGCAAAAATGACCCTGAATGGATGAACCGATCGACTTTGAGTGAATGGATCGAACGATCCATATTGCATACCATACAAAAAATATTAAAGAAATTAAATTTAATTATCAATATATTTTTGTCTTTTTCATCAACATATATTATTATCTTTATGATTGAACTAGTTTTTTTTTTTTCGTTTCCGTCTTCCTAATTTAAAATAGTGAACTTATTATTTCTATTATAGAATTAAAATAATGTTTGAAAAAATATCTTTAAGAACTAAACTTATATTATATTTAAATTCGAACACAAAAGTAGTAAGTTTTAAATTTGAGAGGTGAAAAAAACCCGTCTAAATTGAGGGGAGCAAAATATAATTAAGACTGAAATTTATTTTATTATCTTCTGTAAAAACTTATTTAACATTTTTAAACTATTTAAATATTTAATATAATATGATTAATGTTTAATTAACCCTTTAGTGTTTCGATAAAAGAAGAACCTTATAGTTCACACTCTCTTAGAGTAAGAAAAATAAAATTGCTTCTAATAAAGGATCTTTACCGAAAAGTTTAGAAGATTTTTTCATTTAGTCTTTTCTAAATATTGGCCCTTGCCTGTGACATTGGATAAAACTAATTAATTAATTTTATTAAAGGTTTCAAATGATTTATAAATAAATAGTACACACATTAGTTTAATAAATGTATTCTTTTCATATTTAATATTTATTTGTTTCTCCAAACATTATTAGTATTTTTATTGTAAAATTCTGTACATTAAATTTAAAATCATCTTAAAAAATTTAATTTATTTGATTTGTAATTTCTTTTGTTTTATAATTTTTTTATTGTTTAAAATTGTGAAGGATTTTAATGACTTTGTTTTTATTTAATTAATTAATAAAATTATAACTTTATAAATTAATTTCTCAAAATCAATAAATTTCTAATTTTATATTTTTAAAATTTTAAATATAAATTTATTAAAAATAGAAATGATTTTAAATCGAACAAAATATGAATAAGAGAACTATTTTTTTATGAATCCAACACGAATAAAAAAGTTATTTTTAGAGGAATCTAAGTAATAAATAAAAAACGTGATTGAGCAAGTTTCATTAAAAAGAAATAGATTACATAAATTTTTGTAATTGTGCAAACTAATTTAGAGGACTCATCTCACATTATCATTTAGTCATCTATATTCCTTTTATTGGATTTGATGATAATTGAGTAGTCGTAAAAAAGTTATGAAAGTAATTTTTTACCGGAGAAAAAATTAAGAAATAAATTAATTTTTATTTGATGTAATAAACGTGGAAGTTCATGACACATGATGATCGAAAGTCAAATGATTTTATTTGGAAAAAAGACATAGTTTCAAGGAAAGATGGAATAATATTTTAGTGCGGATAATCTGTATAATACTTTGAACTTTAATTATTCAATTCAACCTCACACAACTTATTCAACTAAGCAAACTTGTTTTATTTAATATTTTCATTCACAATTGTACACTATACTTCTCCTCTCTATTATTATTTTCTTATCATGATCAACTCTTTATTAATTCAATCAGATTCAATGGTTTAAATATGAAGATCGATGTTCCGGTTAAAATAGATTAATTCTAAAATAATTTCATTCAAAATGTTAAATTTTCGTTAATATTAATTAAAACTTTATTAGAGAGTTTATATATTAATTATGTATTTATTATCTTTATAATATAAATTGACTTTAATATTAAAGGATTTTTTATTAATTATGGCAGAAGCTAACAATGGATGTTTTTTCTCTCGTCAAAATTCATTTAATGTTTTGATTGTGAATATTGTTATTATTATGTTTTGGGTGACATGTAAATTTATAACTAGAGCCGAGAAGTAATTAACTTTGTTTAATAAATAATAAATGTTAAATGGTGATAGGCAAAGATACATGAGTGTCATTTTCTTTATTAAGGAAGTGGTTGCAATGAATAGGAAAGAGTATATAGCAATGAGTTTTAGGATCTGTTGATGGAGAATGAGATGATTGATCATTGAAATCAATGGTGGAAGATACAAACCCCATAACATGATAAGATAGGAATATAATATAATATAATAGAATAGGTGTGTCAATATTCTATTTGCACCCTCCCACTCCTTATCTGTCACTTAACGCCGTTTCTTTTCATTTTTTCTTCTCGTCAAATCCTCTCTATTTAACTTCATTCTTTACCGTTTCAACGCTCATGTTTTTGGCCTTTTCTGTATATTGATTATTGATAAAAGCCACGAAGAGAATAAATCATTTAAATTATTTAATATATATAAACGTAACCACGTAATTACCCAATGAGTGAAGTGTGGGGTGAATGAATTTGACATAATTAAATGGAAAGACAATTGTATTATAATAATATTATTGTAAAGGATAGTTTGTTTAGAGGTGAGTGAAAGATGAAAGAAATAAAATATTTGGCAAGAAGCTGTGATTACGTGTAGAGTATAAGTATAAAAATTGTTGGTTTGTTAATAAATAAAAGAATGGTTGGTATAAAAAGAGAGTGAAAGTTAAAAAGGAGTTATTAATTAATTAAATTAGAGATTGAGGTTTGATATTAGTATTAAGAGAAGAGGGATAAAAAGGAAAAGAAAGAAGGGTGTTGGTTGGGTTTATATTGAGGATGATTGGTGGTGGTGGTGGTGGTGGTGAGAGAAGAAGAGGAAAAAGACAAAAAAACCTAAATAACAAACACAACAAATTATTAAGGCATACATAGACGGAGAAACGGAACAGGAAGAGAAAAGAAGAGAAGAGAGGACGAAGAGTGTGTCCTTTACAGACTGTAGTTACTCGGTCGCCCCCACCAACCAACACTCTCCACCTGACCCCTCCCATTCTTTTAATTTATTTAAAAATAAAAGATAAATATCTAATAATAATAATAATAATAATAATAATAATAATAATAAGAAAAACCAAACCCTACTACTCCTGCTACTACACTACACTTTCTCTCTGCTCTTCTTCCTCCATCATCTATCATCCAATCTTATGTTTTTGATGTTAAGTTCCTACCCCTAGGGTTCCTCTTTCTCTCTCTATCTTTCTTTTTCTCTCTGTAGATGAATAATTAAGGTGTCTCTGTCTCTCTCTTTCTCTTTCTCTTTCTCTTTCTCTTTCTGCTTCCATCTACATTCACTCCGATGAATTCCCCACCCAACCTCTTCGTCTCTTTTCTTCTTCTTCTTCTTCTCTTCTTCACTGTCTTCTCCGTTTCTTCCTCCGCCTCACTCCCCGAGCTTCGATCTCTCATGGAATTCAAGAAGGGGATAACTCAAGATCCCCACAATCTTCTCGACTCCTGGGCTCCGGCCGCTGTCGCCGAGTCCACCGCCGCCTGTCCTTCTACTTGGCAGGGCATTCTTTGCGACGAGGAGTCCGGCAACGTCACCGGAATCGTCCTCGACCGCCTCCACCTCGGCGGGGAGCTCAAGTTCCACACTCTCCTCGACCTCAAGATGCTCAGAAACCTCTCCCTCTCCGGCAACGATTTCACTGGAAGGTTGCCTCCTTCCCTGGGCTCGCTCTCCTCGCTCCAGCATTTGGATCTTTCTCAGAACAAGTTCTACGGCCCCATCCCCGCTCGGATCAACGACCTTTGGGGTCTTAATTACCTCAATTTGTCCAACAACCAGTTCAAGGGCGGCTTCCCCAGTGGCCTCTCCAACCTTCAGCAGCTCCGAGTTCTCGATTTGCATGCCAACGCTCTCTGGGCGGAAATTGGGGACGTCCTCTCTACGCTACGGAATGTGGAGCGCGTCGATTTGAGTCTTAACCAGTTCTTTGGCGGACTTTCCTTGACCGTGGAGAATATTTCTGGATTGGCCAACACGGTACATTTTCTTAACCTCAGTTACAACAACTTGAACGGTCACTTCTTTAAGAACTCCACCATTGGCCTGTTTCGCAACCTGCAAGTTTTGGACTTGAGTAATAATTCCATCACCGGGGAGCTTCCTTCTTTTGGCTCATTACCCGCACTTCGCGTTCTTAGGCTTCCCCGGAACCAACTGTTTGGCTCCGTGCCCGAGGAATTGTTGCAAACTTCAGTGCCACTGGTAGAATTGGATCTTAGCGTCAACGGGTTTACCGGTAACAAAATCTCTTTCAAGTTGTTGTGGAGGCAGAATTGCCACTATTTAACCACTATTTAAAGCTCTGGTTATGGGAACTAGATTCTTGAATTTATTTTTATTATTTTTTTGTTATATTCCGCCCTCTTGCTGCTTGAACCTATATGGGAAACTGGTAAGGTGAAAGTTGCGCGGGTGTGAATTTGATTGGTTGTTTGTGTGCATGCGCATGCAGTGTTGTAATGTTAGATGTAGGAAAGGTGCACGCGCGAGAACCGGAGACCTTTTTATTTATCTTAGAATTTCTTTTGCCAAAGCGGCCACTGGCTGTTAGTGGGAGGGGAAAGTTGTTTTAGTGAAAGTTCATGACTTCTGTTTTGCATGTGCTTGAATGGAAACCATGATGCATGCAGCTAAAGTCAGTATGTGTTAGTTAGTAGGCGAGAGAAGGGATGTCCGGTAGGAGATGGGTGCAGAGAGAGAGAGAGAATACGAAATGAAAGTAATGGTTCTTAACTCAAATACGTTTCTTTTGAAACGTTGTTTATGGATGGTCTTCCTTATCTCCAGTAAGGAACAGTTAGTTTGACTTCTCTGCATCTTATGATACCTGGTGTTTGGCTCATTTTTTTTTATCACATTTTCTAGTGCAGTGATGACTTATGGTTGTAGAATTCGCGTGCTATTTTTTATCTCTCTATGAATTTTTAGTGTTTACTCTTGGCTTTTGTAAGTGCCTCGATTCAACTGACTATATCTTTTAAAGCTTCCGTTTTTTCATTTTGCAATTGAATTTACTTGTTTCAAGTGTATACCAATTTGGTTCCGCAGTTTTCGGGCAATTTTGGTTGAATATCTTTTAATTAATTAAATAAATGATATTTTATCATGGTTTATGAAGAATTTGAGAGAAATAAGATGGTAAACTCAGTATTCTGTTAATTAATTTGCGTTTCTTTTCTTGTGTACAGGCTCTATAGCTGCAATTAACTCTACAAGTTTAAGTATTTTGAATCTTTCATCCAATAGTTTGTCAGGATCGTTGCCAACTTCTTTGACAAGATGTACGGTCATTGACATTAGCAGAAATATGTTATCTGGTGACATTTCTGTTATACAGAACTGGGAAGCCCCACTGGAGGTTATTAATCTGAGTTCAAACAAGCTGTCAGGATCCTTGCCCCCTACTTTAGGAACCTATTCAAAATTGTTTAGAGTTGATTTAAGTTTAAATGAGCTCAAGGGATCCATTCCACGAGGTTTAGTTACTTCATCATCAGTGACAAGACTGAATCTTTCTGGGAATCAACTCACAGGGCAACTTCTGCTTCAAGGTTCAGGAGCCAGTGAGTTACTCCTTATGCCTCCTTATCAACCAATGGAATATCTTGATGTATCTAATAACTCCTTAGAAGGTGCCTTGCCTTCTGAAATAGATAGGATGAGTGTCCTCAAACTGCTGAATGTGGCTAGGAATGAGTTTTCCGGACCTCTGCCAAGTGAATTGAACAAACTTCTTTATTTGGAGTACCTTGATTTGTCTAACAACAAATTTTCTGGAAATATTCCTGATAAGCTTTCATCCAACTTAACTGTATTTAACGTGTCCAATAATGATCTATCTGGTCGAGTTCCAGAAAATTTGCGGCAGTTCTCTCCTTCATCCTTTCGCCCTGGAAATGGAAAGTTAATGTTACCAAAAGATTCTCCTGAGACTTCTTCGGTGCCTGATAACATTCCAGATAAGGGTAGACGTCATAGTTCAAAGGGTAATATCAGGATAGCAATTATTCTTGCCTCTGTAGGTGCTGCTATTATGATTGCTTTTGTTTTATTGGCATATCATCGAACACAACTAAAAGAATTTCATGGAAGAAGTGAGTTCACTGGTCAAAATACTAGAAGAGATGTCAAGTTAGGAGGACTTTCAAGGCCTTCCCTCTTCAAGTTCAATACAAATGTTCAACCCCCAACAACCTCATTGAGCTTTTCGAATGACCACCTCCTGACTTCCAATTCGAGGTCACTCTCTGGTGGACAGTCAGAGTTTATAACTGAAATTTCTGAGCATGGCTTAACGCAGGGAATGGTGGCTACTAGTTCAGCATCTGTAAATCCTAATTTGATGGATAACCCTCCCACTTCATCTGGAAGGAAGTCTTCTCCTGGTTCCCCATTGTCATCCTCACCACGTTTCATAGAGGCTTGTGAAAAGCCAGTGATGTTGGATGTTTACTCACCAGATCGGTTGGCTGGGGAATTGTTTTTCCTGGACTCTTCCCTGGCATTCACTGCAGAGGAATTATCTAGAGCACCAGCTGAAGTTCTTGGCAGAAGTAGCCATGGCACTTTATATAAAGCAACTTTGGACAGTGGTCATATGTTGACTGTAAAATGGTTACGGGTAGGATTGGTGAAACATAAAAAGGAATTTGCTAGAGAAGTTAAAAGGATTGGTTCTATGAGGCATCCAAACATTGTCCCATTACGAGCATACTATTGGGGGCCTAGGGAACAAGAAAGGCTTCTTTTAGCTGACTATATACATGGGGACAATTTGGCCCTTCATCTCTATGGTAATAGTTTGCTTTTCCGTCAACATATCTAAATTCCAAACCATACATTTTAAATTTTGTGCTTTTTTCATGGATATTTTTCTTTGCTTGCGTTTGTGATGTCCTATGGTCTTTCATTGTGCTATACTTGTTATTTGTGAATGTTTTCCGATTAGAAATTAGAATTACCTTCTGGACAGAACTTGGGTGTAGTACCTTAGGTTCTTTTTGTGTTCTGTTTTTTTTAAAAGGTTGATATTACTTGTTGGCATTGATTGTCTTGGTGAAGCTTTAGTTTTAGTTAGAGAACATCAAGACTCAATAGCACCTAAGACGTAGAACTCAGGTTTTGTTGTTTCTTTATACCTAAGCATCCAATGAAGAAATATTTCTTGAATTTGTGTACAAGAATCATTTTGTGGATTTTATGGCCTTGACTTTCAAATTGGAAACATATAGCTTGATCAAATTGGACCTGCTATAACGTCTTGTTTCTTTTTTCATTTGAAATAAAAAAATGTTAAACAACATGATGCTGCCTTCAATCTTATCTGTCATTTGTCAATTTTCACCTGCCTTCTCAATAGCTGGCAGACAAAGGGTCATCTCGGATAGTGGTTTTGTAACTCTTGTACAGGCTCCATGGCTATTTCTAGGTGTATTGTAGAGATTTCCATGGCTCCATGGCTATATTTTTGTCATGGTATCTTTGAGGTACCGCTTGTCAGACAGTTAGCATAAAACATATTTAAAGCTCTCGAATTCTCTGCTCAGGATTTTTTTGACACGATATGAACTTTTTGTTAGCTGAATGTAATATCAATGTATCTGTTTGCACAGAGAGCACACCCAGAAGGTACTCCCCGTTATCATTCAGCCAGAGAATAAAAGTTGCTGTTGATGTTGCACGATGTCTTCTATACCTTCATGACCGAGGACTTCCCCATGGAAATCTGAAGCCCACGAATATAGTTTTGGCAGGCCCTGATTTCAGTGCTCGTCTTACTGACTATGGTCTTCACCGGCTGATGACTCCGGCTGGAATTGCAGAGCAGATACTCAACCTTGGAGCACTTGGATACCGTGCTCCGGAACTTGCTGCTGCATCCAAACCGGTTCCTTCGTTTAAGGCCGATGTGTATGCTCTTGGTGTGATCCTAATGGAATTGTTGACAAGAAAAAGTGCAGGTGACATAATATCGGGGCAGTCAGGTGCTGTTGATCTTACAGATTGGGTTAGGCTGTGTGAGCGAGAAGGAAGGGTAATGGACTGTATCGACAGAGACATTGCAGGTGGGGAAGAATCCTCCAAAGAGATGGATGAACTGCTTGCAATATCTCTCAGGTGTATTCTCCCTGTAAATGAGAGGCCTAACATCAGACAAGTTTTTGACGATCTGTGTTCAATATCCGTTTGAAATTTTTGTACATGCGTCTGGGAATTAGTTTTTTATTTTTGGTTCCTCGACCCATTGTTGTTATTTTCTCATTCTTTGTATCCATCTTGTCTCTCCTCTTAATTGGTTTCTTGCCTTATTTTGGGCTGATCATTATATTCTTTTCTCCTATTTTTCTCTTTTATTATTAGAAAAACAAAACAGTATTTCTTGTAAAGCGACATCATTGATTAATCGACAGTGTTTGTGTTTTGATTTGAAACGGATTTGTTTCAATTCTTTTCTCTTTACCTCCGGTGTGTACTCCACTTTTTTGGACCTTTTCTATTATGTTTTCTCGTTGAAATCTTCGAAAAGTAAATATTCGTTGTTAAATTCTCAGTCGATTGGATAATGGTGAACCAGCCGTTTCCTGACACCAATACGGCCGAACAGATAAGTTTTGTCTTTATTTATTTGATCTTAAGAATCATAGCATGTGCGGTTAGTTATGTAAAGTCTTCGGTGACAATTTCAGGATTTGATTTTTAAACATTGCGCATGTTTTCTTTGCACCATAATTTACGCATATTACAGCTAATCATGCGTAATTCAAATATTGATGGCTGAATGTGTATTCAATTTTTCTAACAATCATTGATTAAAAACGGTAGTCAAAATAGACTACTATTAGTATTTGGTCTTAATATAGTAGACTACATTTTATATATTTTATTTAATACAAAAGATGCACTTGTTGATTAGTGACTATTAAAAATTAATAAATCAAAAAAATCAAGAAAAAAGACATGAAAGTTTAAACAAGATCAACAATTAGAGTAATAATATTGAGGTTTTTCCGCCTTGTCCTTGTTGTAAAAAAAACTAATAATCCATAAAAATAGTGTTGTAAAAAAAACTAATAATCCATAAAAATAGTGGTGGTGGAGACTAGATGCAAGGTGTCATAGGTGTGGTGAGTTAGGTCACAAGGAAAATAATTACGAGTCTCATCAACAAGAGAAGTGAAGGTTTCCGAGAACAAACCACAAGAAGAACAAGAACAATTGTTTGTTGTTACATGCTTTGCTACCAATAGCTCCACAGAAAGTTGGCTAATGGATAGTGATTACACAAACCACACGAGTTATGATGAAGAACTCTTTAAAGAAGTTGACAAAACTGCACTTTCAAGCCATAATTGGTAATGGAGCATATGTTGCAGTAAAAGGCAAAGTAACAATGACAATTGAAGGTCAAACAAGTTTGAAATTGATTTAAGATATTTTATATGTTCCTTAAATTAACCAAAACCTTTACCTTGGACTTGGGTGGAAACTCAAAGCAAGTGCAAGTTGCATGTGATCAGATCTGACAATGAAACTAAATATAGCTATAAGAAATTTAGCAAGTTTTGTAAAGAAGCATGTGTAGAGCACCATTCACCTCAACAAAATGACATTGCAAAAAGGAAAAATCGGAAGATTATGGAAGCTGTATATTCAACAATATTTTTACTGAATAGGCTACCAACAAAAGCTTTACAACAAAGAATGCCTTTTGAAGGTTCGGTTACAAAATTGAGCTACTTAATTTAAAGACATTTGGTTGCTTTTGTTTCTCTTATATTCCTCATATTAAGAGAAAAACCTGGAATGTTTTTAGGCTATAGCCTAATTTCAAAGGCGTATAGAATCTATCTCCCACATAACAACAAACTAATGGTTAGTATGAAGACAACAATAAGCTTGAAGTTGAGGAGAAGAATGAAGATGTGGACGACGAACATGTCAAAGGTTGGATATGAAGAGGCTGTGACTAACCATAGGTTAAAGAGGAGCTCAAAATGATTGAATGAAATCATATGTGGGAGTTGGTGGACATACTTGATCATAAAAAAGTCATTGGAGTAAAATAGATTTATAGAACCATCATGGTCTTTCTCACCAAGTTTGGCTGAAAAAGACTAACAAATTCACCTTTGTTTTTGTCTTTTACAACTATCTCCTTGCATTCTTTACGATAAAAACAATTTCTACACTTTGTTCTATTTTCCAACTACAATTTTAATAAATAATATTAAATTTATAGATTGTATAATCTAAAATATAAATTACATTATAATTTGAAATATAAATTATATTTTAAATTGATTACTCAAATTTGTATTATAAATTGTATAATCCAAAAATATAATATTACATTACGAATTGTATAATAAAAAATTTACATTACGAATTATTTTTCAAATTTGCATTATGGATTTTATAATCTTGAATGTAAGTTTTCATTGTAGAATATACGGGAATTTAATTTGCATTCTAAATTATGTTGCAAATTTACAAAATAGATTATATAATTTAGAATATAATTTTGCACTACATATTATACAATATGAAATATCTACGAATTGCACAACCTAAAATTATAATTGTATTAAGAGTATAATTGGAATTTTAAACAATATGGAGGTGCAAGACGGAACAGTGGGGATGCAGGAAGAAATTTCCCAAATCTATTTCTTTGAGACTTTTTTTGACCACAACACTATGAAGACATCTCTTTTGGGCCAAAAATATGAAATAGTCCATTTGTTGAGTTCTTTTTACTATTTTAGTCGTATCGATATGTTGTATAGATATGTTGTATCGATATGTTGTAATCTTAAGGTTTAATGTTTTGGTAGGTCTTTTTTTTTTCCGGCTAGAATCTCAAATAGGTCCCCTTCTTATTCGTTTTTTCAATTGGGTCCTTATTTTTGAAAAACTGAAACAAATAGAGGCTTACCGTCAAATTGGACTACAGGCGTTAGAATTATGTTGACGTGGATGCTGATGTTAATTTTTTAAATGACATGGCAAATTTTTAGATAATTTTAGTTGAGTCTAGCATGAATTTTTGTTTTTTTTTTAAATTAAAAAAAATTAAGAAAAGTTAATAGAACTTAATTGTTTTTTAAAATTAGGGTTTTCACCGACCACTATCCTCCTCCCTCAATCCTTTTGCGCACCAGCCACCATTAACACCGTTCAACCACCATCTTCATCATTCTCAACCATAACTGCATAGTTTCTGAAAATTAGGAATTTTGTTCGAGAGTTTAGGGTTCACTAAACGTCCATCAATGGTGAAAGAGGAAGTTGATGGCCGTTGCGCCTCAATTATGAGCCGCCGTGAGGACACCACCACTGCGTCTCAACTTACATGTGCCACCACAACCACCAGCCATGACCACCATGCACAAACCACAAAGACACGAGAGACTCCTAATTGCGAAACCCAGTTCGACAATCATCATCTTCTCATGAATCCAAATCACGAGCCACCCAAAGTCAGCAACCATGGCGAACCTAAGTTTCGCGCATCCTCCATTGATGCATCAACACTAGCACCTTCGTGAAACCTAAATTGCGTCCTAGTTCAATCGTGCAACCTCCATGGGCGTTGCGACAGAGATAGCGATCCAACCTGCAAAGAGAAATTAGAATCACAGAACCAGAAACAACAATAACCCATTCAAACAACACCGTTCAATCTCCTCCGTGAGCGAATCCTTCGAACCTCCATCTACCGCGAGAGAGCCATGAGTCAGAGAACCCAACATCTTCGTCCCAAATCTCTTCAAACATCAACCCTATGAAAGAACCCTAATTTGAAGAAGAAAGGGGTAAGTACCCCCAATTTTTTCCGAAGAAAGGGGTAAGTTCTCCGAATTTTTTAATTCAACTTTTTTATTTCAAAAGTTATAAATTTCCTCATCATTATGTTATTACAACATAAACTATGCCACATCATTTAAAAAAAGACAATCAACATGCCACGTACACCCCACTTAAACGACGTTTGTCCAATTTGACGACAAGCCTCTGCTTGTTTCAATTTTTCAAAAATAAGGATCCAATCAAGAAAGCGAATAAGAAAGGGACCTATTTGAGATTCTGGTCGGAAAAAAAAACTTACCGAAACATTAAACCTAATCTTAATTAAACCACTTTACATTAATATTTTTAATTGTTTCCACTATTTAAAATAAACTAAAAATGAACAAATTCTTAATTTATTTAGTTCTTAAAAAACGATTTATTAATTGAGTAGTCCATGTTAATCCACAATCCTAATAAATACGACTTTTCTCACATTTTATTACTTTTGGTATACTTGCAGCTATTTTAACACTTTTATGTTTTCAAATTAAAGAAAAGTATGCATCTATTCTTCGTATATTTGCTTAAAGTGTATTGTTTTTTTTTTTTATTTTTTTTTTTTATAAAAGGTTACGCATACTTCCTTGATGTTAATATATATTACAATATGCGTAAGTATGTTAATGGTGGTAACTAGTAGTAAACAATATTTTAAATATAATTTTTTACAGTTTTTAGACGGTATTGTCGTCTAGTCAACTTAAGACCGAATAACCTTTACTTTACAAACCGAAACAACTTTGAAAGTTAACTTTAAAGTATGAAAGGAACATAGTGTTAAATTCAAGTATATTGAAAATTGGAATTTATTCGGAAATGATGATGAAAAAATATCAATCTTTTGTTTTCAAATTTAAAAGAATTTATTGATTTTACAATCTCATTCCTTTCAACTATATTTGAAATTACAAAAAGACGCTAGAAAGGGGTTGAATAATGTTATGAATTTTTTTTTTGCACATGGACATTTAACAACTTTGGTGATGATTAGACGGTTTACACAAATTGTTAGGCACTTGATTTATAAGGCACTATTTAAACCACAATGTTAAGAGATACAGTGTTTTTCAAGTATTTAGCAAAGCTATTGTAGCGTTTAAGAAAGACAACTCTTAAAGAAAATAGCGTGATGACAAGAGCATTTATAAAAGGTTAACTTCCCAAGCAATTGTAGTGTTTATAAATAAGATGTTTTGTAAAGCTAAAACAATAAACACACAATTATTTTTATACTAGTTCACTCAACTAAGCCACGTCCAATTCTCCTCTAAGACCTTTTAGAGGAGTCTACTATAATATCAAAAGATTACTACTGAGTATTAGCACCACTCTTCGTTACACTAGTCAATCTTGATAACACTTGTTATGCTGACTAGAACTGAGTATTAGCACCACTTCTAGTTACACTAGTCAATCTTGGTAACACCTGTTACACTGACTAATAAGCATTTAACTCAACTGAGCTAACCACCAAGTGTTTGAATTCTCTTCAGAATATACAATCAATCAGATTGTTTACAAATCTTAGATGATAACTCTCACAAAGAGGACATGTTTACTATACAACTTAATCTAATAA